TTAAAACACTACTATTCCCCATTTACAGTTATTTTTGTGATTAGATTAAGAACTAGCTAATTGATCATTTTCTATAGGCTGCCTAGAATTTGTATAGTTCAATTTTTATCAGTGTCATGGGGAATAAAGTCAAATTCCTTACAGAAATCTATTATGTCAACACAGTTACCTTTCTCAACCAAACTTGTAACCTTATCAAAAAATGTTTGACAGGATCTATATTCCATGTTGATTGGCATTGAGTATGCTATCAACTTTAATGCTTTACTGATTGTATCCCATGATTTACCTGGCATCAACATCAGGCTAATTGGAATATAGTTTCCCATGTCACCCAATTTAACTTTTTTACCTATTGGCACAACGTTAGTTATTTTCCAATCTTCTGGAACTCCCCCAGTGTAATGAGATTTCTTACAAATCAACATTAATGGTTCAGAGAGCTCTTCAGCCAATTATTTTAATAATCTTGGATGCAAGTTATCCAGTCCTGCTGAGTAAATGTTTCTGTTAAACATTAATAGATGTTGTTTAACATCTTCCTAGTTACTGATGGATTGGAAAGTATCTCATTATTACTGTAAGAAATTACCACATCGTCCTGCTTCTTTCCAAATACAGAGCAGAAATATTTATCAGATACTTACCTCCTCTCTAACTAACACTTTGGAGGTGAATTAAGTGAAGTATTGGGAGTAATACGAACATAGCTCCACAGTGCATTTTAAGGGTATTTCTCTCTCCTCTCCCTCTCTCTCTGAAGTCTATCAAACTCTCCAGGATTGTCACAATTGCAGGTACTTCCCCATATTTGGGTTTTGTTACAGAATAACTGGGAAATGGGAAGGCACCTGCTTGTGATGGTTTGTGCCATAATTATGCAAATATATGGAAATTTTTACTCTTGTTTTCTGTTACAGAATATTTTCCACTTTATAAGCATCTCACACTGTGCTTTGTCATTCTGCTATTGTTTATTTAAGATTATAGTTCTTGCGTTAAACACAATTATGTAACTGAAAGCTCTAGTGCTGAAATATTGTAGAACCATAAGAACTGTTAGCTGTGCTTGCACTTATTAGCAAGAACACTTATGCTCCGGGACACAGGGAATTAGACTAACCTGCAGGGAATTACAGGATATGTGGGGACTGCCTTTTTATTGTTTGTTTCCTAATCAGTTTAAAATGTTGTTTGCTTTATTGATCATTCTTGTTTCTTTGCCCTCGGTGATCTTTTCAACAGGAGTTCATATACATCCTAATTTATGAAATACTTAAGGTGGTGCATGAAGTACACTCTTTTTAGTGAAATCATTCTTAGAAACAAGGTGGTACACATTGCGCATAGATGACAATGACAGCTGGAGCTACTGTCAAACAAACAAACAAAACCCCCAATAGTTGATTACTCAAAACCCTGTTGCCAGTAAGCAGTTGACCCTATAACTTGATCAAATTAGTAACAGTAGCCACTACAGTCAATGGCTGACTCCTGTTACATGACAGGAGTACTAACCTTCATAATCCAGACATAGGTCAAATGACTGGAACCCAGGATAAAAGTTCAGTCTCTTACCAACATGCCTACGGATTGCAACCTTATTTACAAATACCAGCCCCACTAACAGACCCAAGCCCCAGGTGCACATCAACTAGCACCATCTAGTGGAATAGAGGTTAAATGGATTTTACATTGCTATTACTGAAGGGTGGGGGATAGGTTTAATTTCATTCCAAACATAAGAGCATGTGGCAAATTCATATTACATATTAAAAACCTTAATGGGGAAGGAACAAAAGAAAGGACTATGCAGCACTTTAAAGACTAACAAGATGGTTTATTAGGTGATGAGCTTTCATGGAAAGCTCATCACCTAATAAACCATCTTGTTAGTCTTTAAAGTGCTGCATAGTCCTTTCTTTTGTTTCAGCAAGATCAGACTAACATGGCTACATCTCTGTTATTATTCTTAATAGCGAAGGGAAATGATTGGGCCAAAATTGGTTGATATCCTAAGCACACGGAGGAGGGGACATTTGAATTGTGGGGAAAACTGTTGAAACAAACCACCAGAGCTCCATCAAGGGCACAGGAGTGGATGGAAACACATCACTAGTTAATTATAATTCAAATATCCCCTTTCTCTAAGAAAGCTGTGTAATAAGTATTCTTCAGGCTGAAAGAGGGCAGTTCTGTTTCACATCCAGGAACCATTTCATATAGCAGCTGACTTATGAATGCAGTTGGCTTTATGACTGGTAGTCCATGGCTTCTGTTTTGAGAGATGAAATCTTGACATAGCCTTAGACCTTTTTAAATCCAATGTTTATAAATTATCTAATCACCTTCTTGGGAATTTAGGATTACCTAAGAAGGAATATGGTTCGAAACAAGCACTAGTCTGGACCACTGATGTTGTTAGATAGAAGACTCTTTAGGGAGAGTGATCCAGCGCAGTTAGTATCAATGCCACATGCAATCTCCTCTACTCAATCAGGTATGAAACTCCACTGGGCCGAACAAAAATATTTACAATTTGAAAACATAATACCTTCTTTAACCTCTGGCTGCATCTAGACTGGCATGATTTTGCGCAAAAGATTTGCTTTTGTGCAAAAGCATCCGTGCCAGTGTAGATGCTCTCTTGCGCAAGAAATTAACTTGGCTGTCTACACTGACCCTTTTGCGCAAGATTACTTGCACAAGAGGGCTTATCCCTGAGCGGGAGTGTTGGAGTATTTGCGCAAGAGCCACTGAGAAAATCCCCCCAGCCAGTGTAGACAGGTGGCAAGATTTTGCACAAAAGCAGTTGCTTTTGTGCAAAATCTTGCCAGTCTAGATGCACCCTCTGTGTCTGAAATCATTTAAGTGAAAAAAAGGGAAACTAATACATTCATGGATTTTTCTGATGGATTACAAAAATTAGACTTTAGACCAAATAGGGACAAAAGATGAAGGGAGCATATTCATTTTAACAAATGACACACAGCCAAGAAGGGAGAAGGGTAAACCAGTTCCTCCATGTCCACCTTCATAGTTGTCCAAACTGGGACAGTATTCAATTTGAAATCCTTAGGTAAATCTGAGGAGATTACACCAGGTTATTTGCTCTGCTATAAGGGTCATTTGGAAGGAGAGAGTCAAGAGACCCACTGCTGGTGGGAGCATACTTCCTAGCGCAAATATATGGCCTCAAAAAAGCATGCTAGAAAGAGCATTGTAGCTGGGGGTAACAAGGACATCAGCTCAGGATAGTTACCTCAGTGCAAACCTCCCCAGACCCCCTGGGTATGTACTCAGATGGCATGTTATCTGTGCTATCCCCAGCAACACGGCTATTTTAGCATGAGACTGTCTACCTACAATAAGAGTAAGCACCCTTTTAGCTGCAGTGTCAGCGTACCCTCAGTATAATCTTATGCTACCCTGAAACATAATTTGAAATGGTCATTTATTTTCATCAGATCTGGGAGAGATAAGGTATGGTTAGTCACAAAGACTAGTAAGCCACATGTACATAATGTTGCTCGCCTTCATGACACCCATATGAGCATATTGTTAGCTTGGGA